GGGGGGAAGAAAAATCGAACAGAGAAACAACTAAACAAATGACATTAAATTGTGTAAATTTGATTTTCAATTTTATCATTAAACATTTGGGTTTTATGCACTGGTGTCTTGAATTTGCATTTTTTTTTATCCCATGTCTGTTTTTTTCTTTAGAAGTGTTTCTTAAAAGGACCACTAAGTTTAAAATGTGACTGTTTAGTAAATTCCTTTTTTGTGGTGTGGTAAGGGAGTGAATAGCACTGTAAAATCTGTATCCATTTAGACCTGTAAATGTGGACAATGTTTTATTTGGCTGTACATTACTGCTCTATTGGCTGACTCTGTACCATGGTGTAATGGACACGTATCTTTTTGAATGTGATGTAAAATTTTGTACAGTAAAATTTTTTATATTTTCTATCAACTGAGTTTGTCTTCCAGAATTGCTATTAATTTAAACAGTTAGTATTAACAAAGGTTCTGTATTAGTTATGCAACCAGCAGACGTGCACTCCTATGCTATTGAAATTCTGGATATTTAGGATTCTTTAAAGTCAATAAATCCATACTATCAAAAATAAAAGAGTTGTGTTTTATTTTGTGCGCTATTTTATTTGTCTTATAATTGTTGAGATCAGTATCAAGTCAAATACAGACGATCAAGCTTATTAAAAGAGCATTAAGTCTAAGGGCTTGTTTACGCCATGTCCATTGAGCCGCATTTGAATGGTGTGAAACCAATGAATTCTCTGTGCCCTGTTCACACCATACAGGTGCAGTGCTGTGCAGAAAAACACAGCTCAAGTCTCATAAATACCCAAATGCAAAGTCCTTGTCTTCTCGTGGATTTTTTTATGTCCTGGAGTTACTAACAGTATGTTAACGCTTGCAACCTGCAGACAAGGACTGTACATATGGCTATATATGAAACTTTTATAAGCAAGTACCAGCAAGCAGCACTGTATATATGCAGAAACCAATAGCAACAAGAACGTGGTGTGGTATTTTGTATTTGGTATTTAAATTCTTAGAATTGCAGACTCCCATCTATACACATCTGCAGCTGTTTGAAACATATTCGGTTTAACAACCATATGTCTGAGTAAAATTTGCTAGCTAGAGTACGTAATGTCTGTTTATAAGTGCACCAGGCATTTTTTTTCTTTCTCAAACTGCAGCAAGACCTTTATTAATGGTTATAGCATTCTTGCACTGGGCTT